GAGCTCAGAAGAGCTGCAGTGACACGATGAGGAACATTCATGTTTTAATGTTTAATACTGCGAGGCATCAGATCTGCACATCCATCACATCAGCAAACACTGGCACTTAATAAATAATCAGAACCATCAACCATCAAATCTCAGCTTTACATCATAACAGCACAAGTGTCGAAGTCCAGCTTCACATTACGACCTCAGAGACGTCAATGTTCAAAGCTCTCTCATGCCTGAAGAAACAGCAGCGCTCGAGAGGTCAGAGGTCTCCGCTCTCCTAGAGGAGTGTGTGTGTGTGTGTGTGTGTGTGTCTACTGCCCTCTGCTGGCCGATCTCAGTTTGATGATCCACTCACCGCTCGGGTTGTTGTTGTGCAAGTCAAACAAATGAGTCTCTGGATCCAAACAATGTTCACCTGATCCATGAAACAAGATTACAAATATATATGCATATTAATATAAATATTATAGTATTGTTTTCTGGTTGATGGGCATCATATGAAACTAAAAACCCAAATGAAGAGCAGGACTTCCTCCACACCCACTTGAGACTGGAGTTTGCTATAATAACTCTGGTCTGGGTTTGGCCTCATTTGGCACTTGAGAAACACTTACCGATATTCCCACCGACTTCATAGATGGCCCAGTCCGGGAGCGAGGCGGAGCCGTTCCTGTGAGAGGGAAAGGGAAACAAATGCATTACACTAAAGGATTTTATTTGTGCGTGTGTGTGTGTGCGTGTGCCCGTTCGTGTGTGTGTGTGTGCGCGTGTGTGCCTGTGCATGTGTGTGTGTGCCTGTGCATGCGTGTGTGTGTGTGCCTGTGCATGCGTGTGTGTGTGTGCCTGTGCATGCGTGTGTGTGTGTGCCTGTGCATGCGTGTGTGTGTGTGCCTGTGCATGCGTGTGTGTGTGCCCGCGCATGTGTGTGCCCGTGCGTGTGTGTGCGCCCATGTGTGTGTGTGTGTGCCCATGTGTGTGTGTGTGTGTGCGCCCGTGCATGTGTGTGTGTGTGTGTGCCCGTGTGTGTGTGTGCCCGTGCGTGTGTGTGCCCGCGCGTGTGTGTGCCCGTGTGTGTGTGTGTGTGTGTGTGTGTGCCCGTGTGTGTGTGTGTGTGTGTGTGTTACCGTTTCAGGAGACCCCTGCTGTTATCGGAGGCGTGCAGCTCTTTATAAAACTGTGACATCAGGTCTGAGGCGCGAGAATTAATGGCGAGACGAAACTCCATCGAGGAACTCACGTCACCCAGCTGGATCTTTACAGTACGACACTGCTGAACACACACACACATGCACACACACACACACACACATATGCACACACACACACAAAAAGAAAAATAATTAGTTCTCAATAACTGATCATTATGAGTCAAAGATCATTAGCCAAAAACTCCTTAAAATCAAAAGGGGATTTTTTTTTACTATAGAATTATTATTATAGATATCTGAACATATTACTATTATATATAATTGAAGATAATATTATACATTATTATTAATATGAATATATATTTTATAATATAGCATTTTCAATTAAGAAAATTAAGCTTTTTTTAGGAGAATGAGAGAATTTGACAGCAAACCGACATACAAATAATGTTACAATTTAAGATAATTACTCCACAGGGATGAAGTGAACAGGTTTATTCATAATAGATGATGATTGTGTTTTGTGGAATATCTCGCAGCACGAGCTCACGTCACGATCTCTAGAGCTTTTACACACTTCGTGTGTTCAATCAGGTCCTGTAAGCGTCTGTTCCTGAGACTAAAGCCTCTAAAGGGATCATCCTCTCACACACACACACACACACACACACACACACACGATCTGTCGCTCTCCTTATTCCACACACACACTACCAGTCAAAAGTTTTGGATCTGTAAGATTTTTTATGTTTTCAAAGAAGTCTCTTCTGCTCAAGGCTGCGATTAAAAATGCAAAAAAAAAAAAACCGAAAAACTGAAATATTATTACAATGTAAATCAGCTGTTTTCTATGTGAATATATAGTTAATATAGTTAATACATACAAAAGATTCTATTTAAAATAAATGCTGTTCTTTTGAACTTTCTATTCATCAAAGAATCCTGAAATAAAAATATGAAACTGTTTTCAACACTGATAATAATCATAAATGTTCATATTAGAGTGATTTCTGAAGGATCATGTGACACTGAAGGCTGAAAATTCAGCTTTGATCACAGGAATAAATTACCCTTTACTGTATATCCACATAGAAAACAGCGGATTTACATTATAATAATATTAGCTTTTTATCTACTATTTTTTATTTAAGTTTTTAATCAAATGTAAAATGTTAAACCTCGCTGGAGTGCTTGTCGGGTTTGTCTCTGCTGTCGGTGTGGATCTTCCTGAGGAGGTTCTTGATGCGCTTGTCGTAGAACTGGTACCGGCGGCTGCTGTTCTCGTTCAGTTTCCTCACTTGACTCATCAAGAAGTTAGGAACCTACAGAACAGCAGAGCAGAGGCTCATGAAGCAGACGAAACCATGCAAGCGTGTGGATGTTAATCATGCACAAAACTGGAATATGACATAAAGCATTTGCGAATAAAGCAACGTTTCCATCCCATGCGAATCGGCACTTCCTGGGAAATAGTGCAAAATATCAGTAATAAGAATGGAAGTTCCTGCAATCCGAAACACAATAAACGCTGTCACGTTCTCTTGTCCGAGGTTTATCGTATCTTTTCGTTGACGTTTTCCCACTTCTTTCTCAGATTTGATGTTGAGTGTGTTCAGATCTCGTCGTTACTCCAAACATTCCCCTCTCTCATGTTCAGTTGAGTCATGTGACTTTTTTTTTTGTTGCGCATCAAAGGATTTATTCTGTGAATGTATTTTCCTCATAATTTATGCGCATGTCTCCTAGTGATGAGAGAAACAAAGCTTTTTAAACCTTTGAATGAACTGAACCAATTGCTGTGCTGGAAGCGCTGGCGACCCCTGCTGGTCAGAACAGTGTAAGCGCAGCGAGAGCACAGACATGCTTTAAAACCTTTTACAAACCAATAGCAAATGTTTAACCGAAAGTGTAATCTATTAAAGTCCCCCTGTGGTGATAATCCAGCTTTTAATGTTGTTTATTATGCAGGGTGGCCGCGGGTCCTTAAAAAGTCTTAAATAAAGTTTTCCTATTAAAAGGCCTTAAAACGTATTAAAATGTCTTAAATTCAGATTCGATGGGTCTTAAATATTTCTGGTCACATTAACGCTAATATTTCTCCAGTCTGACGAACCCAATGTCCGTCAAATAACCAGCGAAGCATCGAATCGCGAGAATGATTATGATTTTATTACATAAACGGCGATTGATAATGATAATGTGTTTCTGTAAGCGCTGTTGAGACTCGCCCGTCGCCCGAGAGTTTATACTGAGAAATCAAAACAAACGAGCATAACCGCACACATCATAACTCACAGAGAAACATACTGAGGTAAAAATTCACAATGTTGAGTTTTTTTATTTATAACATATGATATAGTTGAGTAACATAAGATGACGGGAGCTATTTTGCTGAATATTCTCACGATTGCAAATGTAACATTGATTTTAGTTCAATAAACAAGAAGGTAATATTGAATTACTTTAATTACTTAGGTTAAACATTAAATATTACATATCATGTGTATTTCCATCACAGGTTTGGTCTTAAATTTCATTCAAAGTGGCGTTAAAAAGTCTTAAATTTAACTTGTTTATATCTGTAGACACCCTGTTATGTGTGTATGTGGTGTTTTTAATACGCTTTAAGACACACCATGTGTAAGTTCATAAGTCGACAGCATTGCTGAGTATTTCCTGTAAACGAAGCTCGGGCGCACCAGACACACGTCAGCGGCGGCACTGAACGCGGATCCACAACAGAACCGGAACACACACACACACACACACACACACCAGACACACGTCAGCGGCGGCACTGAACGCGGATCCACAACAGAACCCGAATACACACACACACACACACACACACACACACCAGACACACGTCAGCAGCGGCACTGAACGCGGATCCACAACAGAACCCGAATACACACACACACACACACACACACACCAGACACACGTCAGCGGCGGCACTGAACGCGGATCCACAACAGAACCCGAATACACACACACCAGACACACACACACACACACCAGACACACGTCAGCAGCGGCACTGAACGCGGATCCACAACAGAACCCGAATACACACACACCAGACACACACACACACACACACACACACACACACACACACACACACACACACACACACACACACACACACACACACACACCAGACACACACACACACATACACACACACACACACACACACACACACACACACACACACACACACACACACACACACACACACACACCAGACACACACACACACATACACACACACACACACACACACACACACACACCAGACACACGTCAGCAGCGGCACTGAACGCGGATCCACAACAGAACCGGAACACAATACAATGCTGAATAAAGTCCTAGTTTTTGTTATTTTTGGAGCAAAATGTATTTTCGATGCTTCAACACACTCTAACTAACCCACTGATGTCACATGGACTACTTTGATGATGTCTTTATTTCCTTTCTGGACAAGGACAGTATACCGTACATACATTTACAATGGAGGGACAGAAAGCTCTCGGACTAAATCTAAAATATCTTAAACTGTGTCCTGAAGATGAACGGAGGTCTGACGGGCTTGGAGCGACACGAGGGAGAGGCATTAATGACATCATTTTCATTTTTGGGTGAACTAACCCTTTAAGGCATTAAGATTAATTTCCAAAAGATGATTTTTTATTCCTCCTCAGCTTTAGCATGTGTGTGTTCACTGTACGCATGATAACAGGTGTGTTTGAGGAGGAGCTCTTCACCGTCCACAGCAGGTCCTGGTACCGGATGAGGAGCCGCATGATGTGGGCCGCCCGCTCCGCCTGACCCTTCTCCGGACCCGACGACAGCTTACTGGGAACCGCTTTATGCAGGAAGAGATTGGGAGCCATGATGGTGGAGACGGCCCACAGGTTCATGCGGTTCTGGCGCTCACAGCACACGACCTTACTGAGGAACTCCAGCAGCGCCTGCACACACACACACACACACACACACACATCTATGTGAATATACAGTAAAGTGTAATTTATTCCAGTGATTAAAGCTGAATTTTCAGCATCATTACTCCAGTCTTCAGTGTCACATGATCCTTCAGAAATCACTCTAATATGAGGATCTGATTATTTTTGGTGTTTACATTTTTTTTTTTTTTTGGAAACTGTGATACATTTTATTTTTCAGGATTATTTGATGAATAGAAAGTTCAAAAGAACAGCATTTATTTATTTTGTAACATTATAAATGTCTTTACTGTCACTTTTGATCATTTAATAATCATTTAAAAATCCTTGATGAAAAAGAAAACAGCCCAAAGGTTTGAACGGTGTGTTTTGCGTTTTACGTGGCGATATTTTTGAGAAACGCCGTAGTGTTTTTATGTCCATATAATGAAGGTCAATGTTTGGTCCGATGTTCTGAGAAATATCTTGTTTTGTGTTCAGGGAAGAGAGAGAGTGACGGGATCCGAGCCGTGGAGTGAGTCGGGCTGTGGAAAGCGTTTCATGTGACTTTAACGTTCATCAACAACAGCAGCTCCACACAAAGAGACACAGTTATATAAACGACTGACTGTGAGCTGTGTGACGCTTGAACACACACACACACACACACACACACACACACACACACAGCAAATGTTGAATGTGTTAAGGAATTTCTCTTATGTAACAGGACCAGAGCTCAGATGATGATGAGTCACATCTATGACACAGCAATGAGTATGGCAGGCGTGTGTGTGTGTGTGTGTGTGTGTGTGTGTGTGAGAGAGAGAGTGAGTGAGTGTCTGTGTGAGAGAGTGAGTGAGTGAGTGTCTGTGTGTGTGTGTGTGTGTGTGTGTGTGTGTGTGTGTGTGTGTGTGTGTGTGTGTGTGTGTGTGTGAGAGAGAGTGAGTGAGTGTCTGTGTGAGAGAGTGAGTGAGTGAGTGTCTGTGTGTGTGTGTGTGTGTGTGTGAGAGAGAGTGAGTGAGTGTCTGTGTGTGTGTGTGTCTGTGTGTGTGTGTGTGTGTGTGTGTGTGTGTGTGTGTGTGTGTGAGAGAGAGTGAGTGAGTGAGTGTCTGTGTGAGTGAGTGAGTGAGTGTCTGTGTGTGTGTGTGTGTGTGTGAGAGAGAGTGAGTGAGTGAGTGTCTGTGTGAGTGAGTGAGTGAGTGAGTGTCTGTGTGTGTGTGTGTGTGTGTGTGTGTGAGAGAGAGTGAGTGAGTGTCTATGTGAGAGAGTGAGTGAGTGAGTGTCTGTGTGTGTGTGTGTGTGTGTGTGTGTGAGAGAGTGAGTGAGTGTCTGTGTGTGTGTGTGTGTGTGTGTGTGAGAGAGAGAGTGAGTGAGTGAGTGTCTGTGTGAGAGAGTGAGTGTCTGTGTGTGTGTGTGTGTGTGTGTGAGAGTGTCTGTGTGAGTGAGTGAGTGAGTGTCTGTGTGTGTGTGTGTGTGTGTGTGTGTGTGTTGTACCTTCAGTGTGTTTCTGTTGGGTTCTGGCAGCAGCAACACAAGAAGATTCAACATGTGCAGCTTCTGCTTCAGGTCTGCTATATCTGTGCAAAACAATTCACAAATGATTCTTCATCAGAAAGACTCGAACCGTCTATAAGAACCGTCTTTAACCCCTCGCGCTGTGCTGACAGAAATACTCATTTATGTTACAAGTCAAAAATGACCATCTTTTTAAATTACTTGTGTTGCTTTATCATCTACCAAACACTGGATCCAATATTTTTGTCATCCTGTTTTCTTTCATTAGCACAAGTTCTGTCAGGAATACGATTGACAGTTAGCATACAGTTTGGAATAGCGGTATGGTTCAGTTCTGGGCAGCCTAGCATGGATAAGAGCAGCAATAACAGACCAGAACCAACATGAATGTATTCCAGATATCATTCATTACTAAAGATTTTAATGTACAATATAATTGAAGATTTATTCTGATTGGAAGGGGAATGAGAATGCCAGACCCTGACTGAGACAGGAGGAGCTGGGGAGGGAGGAGGGTAATCGCTCCTGAGAGACGCGACCGCTGCTGATCACACTGACGAGCTGATGCATGAATACAGTGATAGACGTCGTACTCCTATAGAGACGTGTGTCAGCTGAGAGTCACTGACGCGAGCTTGACTAGCGTGACCCGCCAGAACTGACGCTACGCTTGATGCTTGTGTCTCTGTGTGATCCGATCTGATGAACATCAGTGTTTCTGAGGTGAATAAGCTTGAATGAACATTTTTCACTCAAACACTGATCAATAAATCGGTTCCAAAAAGAAACACAAAACCTGTGCTAATTGAAAGAAAACAAAATAACAATATTTGGCAATAACACAGCATAAAAAGAGGTTGATAAGCAGTTGTAGGTGGGTAATTTTTGACCCGAAACAGCACAAATGTAAAATGGGGGGGGGTTACTTACACAAAAAAGTAAAGAAATTATTTTAAAAATGATTCGGTAAGCTATTAGATCATGTGTCAGAGATAAACCAGAGTTTCGGTGACTGATGTGGCACGCTAGGGGTGCTACGGTTCAAAGTTTGCATTGAACAAAGTTTACAAAGAGTGACCAAAGAGTGATTATAGATGCGTCATCAGATTATAGATGCGTCATCAGATTATAGATGCGTCATCAGATTATAGATGCGTCATCAGATTTGAGATGCGTCATCAGATTATAGATGCGTCATCAGATTATAGATGCGTCATCAGATTATAGATGCGTCCTCAGATTATAGATGCGTCATCAGATTATAGATGCGTAATCAGATTATAGATGCGTCATCAGATTATAGATGCGTCCTCAGATTATAGATGCGTCATCAGATTATAGATGCGTCATCAGATTATAGATGCGTCATCAGATTATAGATGCGTCATCAGATTATAGATGCGTCATCAGATTATAGATGCGTCATCAGATTATAGATGCGTCCTCAGATTATAGATGCGTCATCAGATTATAGATGCGTAATCAGATTATAGATGCGTCATCAGATTATAGATGCGTCCTCAGATTATAGATGCGTCATCAGATTATAGATGCGTCATCAGATTATAGATGCGTCATCAGATTATAGATGCGTCATCAGATTATAGATGCGTCATCAGATTTGAGATGCGTCATCAGATTATAGATGCGTCATCAGATTATAGATGCGTCATCAGATTATTATAGATGCGTCATCAGATTATAGATGCGTCATCAGATTTGAGATGCGTCATCAGATTATAGATGCGTCATCAGATTATAGATGCGTCATCAGATTATAGATGCGTCATCAGATTATAGATGCGTCCTCAGATTATAGATGCGTCATCAGATTATAGATGCGTAATCAGATTATAGATGCGTCATCAGATTATAGATGCGTCCTCAGATTATAGATGCGTCATCAGATTATAGATGCGTCATCAGATTATAGATGCGTCATCAGATTATAGATGCGTCATCAGATTATAGATGCGTCATCAGATTATAGATGCGTCATCAGATTATAGATGCGTCCTCAGATTATAGATGCGTCATCAGATTATAGATGCGTAATCAGATTATAGATGCGTCATCAGATTATAGATGCGTCCTCAGATTATAGATGCGTCATCAGATTATAGATGCGTCATCAGATTATAGATGCGTCATCAGATTATAGATGCGTCATCAGATTATAGATGCGTCATCAGATTATAGATGCGTCATCAGATTTGAGATGCGTCATCAGATTATAGATGCGTCATCAGATTATAGATGCGTCATCAGATTATTATAGATGCGTCATCAGATTATAGATGCGTCATCAGATTTGAGATGCGTCATCAGATTATAGATGCGTCATCAGATTATAGATGCGTCATCAGATTATAGATGCGTCATCAGATTTGAGATGCGTCATCAGATTATAGATGCGTCATCAGATTATAGATGCGTCATCAGATTATAGATGCGTCATCAGATTATAGATGCGTCATCAAATTATAGATGCGTCATCAGATTATTATAGATGCGTCATCAGATTATTATAGATGCGTCATCAGATTATAGATGCGTCATCAGATTATAGATGCGTCATCAGATTATAGATGCGTCATCAGATTATTATAGATGCGTCATCAGATTATAGATGCGTCATCAGATTATAGATGCGTCATCAGATTATAGATGCGTCATCAGATTATAGATGCGTCATCAGATTTGAGATGCGTCATCAGATTATAGATGCGTCATCAGATTATAGATGCGTCATCAGATTATAGATGCGTCAGATTATAGATGCGTCATCAGATTATAGATGCGTCATCAGATTATAGATGCGTCATCAGATTATTAGATGCGTCATCAGATTATAGATGCGTCATCAGATTATAGATGCGTCATCAGATTTGAGATGCGTCATCAGATTATTATAGATGCGTCATCAGATTATAGATGCGTCAGATTATAGATGCGTCATCAGATTATAGATGCGTCATCAGATTATAGATGCGTCATCAGATTATAGATGCGTCATCAGATTATTATAGATGCGTCATCAGATTATAGATGCGTCATCAGATTATAGATGCGTCATCAGATTATAGATGCGTCCTCAGATTATAGATGCGTCATCAGATTATAGATGCGTCATCAGATTATAGATGCGTCATCAGATTATAGATGCGTCATCAGATTTGAGATGCGTCATCAGATTATAGATGCGTCATCAGATTTGAGATGCGTCATCAGATTATAGATGCGTCATCAGATTATAGATGCGTCATCAGATTTGAGATGCGTCATCAGATTATAGATGCGTCATCAGATTATAGATGCGTCATCAGATTATAGATGCGTCATCAGATTTGAGATGCATCATCAGATTATAGATGCGTCATCAGATTATAGATGCGTCATCAGATTATAGATGCGTCATCAGATTTGAGATGCGTCATCAGATTTGAGATGCGTCATCAGATTATAGATGTGTCAGATGCGTCATCAGATTATAGATGCGTCATCAGATTTGAGATCAACCGCAGTGCAAGTGCGTCCCGAACGCGTAAAACACATTATTTTTTCCGATGTTTTCCCGAGAACCGTTACACCCCTAGGGCACACTGTCCAACACACAGCTTGAATGAACTTTTTTCACTCAAACACTGATGTTCATCAGATCAGATCAATAAATCGGATGCAAAAAGAAACACAAAACCTGTGCTAAATGAAAGAAAACAAGATAACAATATTTGTCAAAAACACAGCATAACAAGAGATTTATAAACAGGTTTTTTTTGTAGGCGGGTCATTTTTGACCCAGAACACCACAAGTGTAAAATGGGGGGAAAAAACACAAGAAATGTACAAAAATGATAAACAAAAATAATCAGTAAGCGTTTAGATCATGTGTCAGAGATAAACGAGAGTGTTTCAACCTCTTTCATTTAGCACAGGTTTAGTGTTTCTTTTAGGACCTGATATATTGATGTGATCTGATGAACATCAGTGTTTCTGAGGTAAACGAGTGTTTCGGTCTCTTGTTGTCGGTGTGGTGGCGATGCAGCGACTGTGATGCGGGTCGGCCTGTAAACGAGCACACTGACTGTAGGACCTACAGGACCCGAGTGAGACCCTCACACACACCTCTGACGGCACTGAAGGCGTTGAGGTGTTCGGCCGTCAGCAACGGCGCCGGCAGTTCCCGGATCAGCTTCTTCATCAGCGCCGCGGCGTCGTTCGGACTCACCTCGTCCCAGACGAAGGAGCCGCTGTAAAACGAGTTCTCCAACTTCTGCTGCAGAACCTGAGAGGAACACACACCCGTGAGCCTTCAGATGAGCAACACACACACACACACACGCCGCAGGCCTGATGGGATGGTGCTCTGAGATGAAACTCCCAGTACCTCAGGGTACTTTTACATGTATTATTTTTAGTGCTGGCCAACGATTAATCGCATCTAAAATAAACATTTGTGTTTACATATTGTATGTTTGTGTACTGTGTATAATTGTTTTGTATATATATATATATACACTCACCGGCCACTTTATTAGGTACCCCATGCTAGTAACGGGTTGGACCCCCTTTTGCCTTCAGAACTGCCTCAATTCTTCGTGGCATAGATTCAACAAGGTGCTGGAAGCATTCCTCAGGGAGTTTGGTCCATATTGACATGATGGCATCACACAGTTGCCGCAGATTTGTCGGCTGCACATCCATGATGCGAATCTCCCGTTCCACCACATCCCAAAGATGCTCTATTGGGTTGAGATCTGGTGACTGTGGAGGCCATTTTAGTACAGTGAACTCATTGTCATGTTCAAGAAACCAATTTGAAATGATTAGAGCTTTGTGACATGGTGGAAGTAGCCATCAGAGGATGGGTACATGGTGGCCATAAAGGGATGGACATGGTCAGAAACAATGCTCAGGTAGGCCGTGGCATTTAAACGATGCCCAATTGGCACTAAGGGGCCTAAAGTGTGCCAGGAAAACATCCCCCACACCATTACACCACCACCACCAGCCTGCACAGTGGTAACAAGGCATGATGGTTCCATGTTCTCATTCTGTTTACGCCAAATTCTGACTCTAACATCTGAATGTCTCAACAGAAATCGAGACTCATCAGACCAGGCAACATTTTTCCAGTCTTCAACTGTTCAATTTTGGTGAGCTCTTGCAAATTGTAGCCTCTTTTTCCTATTTGTAGTGGAGATGAGTGGTACCCGGTGGAGTCTTCTGCTGTTGTAGCCCATCCGCCTCAAGGTTGTGCTTGTTGTGGCTTCACAAATGCTTTGCTGCATACCTCGGTTGTAACGAGTGGTTATTTCAGTCACTGTTGCCCTTCTATCAGCTCGAACCAGTCTGGCCATTCTCCTCTGACCTCTGGCATCAACAAGGCATTTCCGCCCACAGAACTGCCGCTCACTGGATGTTTTTTCTTTTTCGGACCATTCTCTGTAAACCCTAGAGATGGTTGTGCGTGAAAATCCCAGTAGTTTAGCAGTTTCTGAAATACTCAGACCAGCCCTTCTGGCACCAACAATCATGCCACGTTCAAAGTCACTCAAATCAACTTTCTTCCCCATACTGATGCTCGGTTTGAACTGCAGGAGATTGTCTTGACCATGTCTACATGCCTAAATGCACTGAGTTGCCGCCATGTGATTGGCTGCTTAGAAATTAAGTGTTAACGAGCAGTTGGACAGGTGTACCTAATAAAGTGGCCGGTGAGTGTATATATATATATAAATACACACATATGCATGTATATATTTAAGAAAATGTATTATTTATATATAAAATATTTATATATAATATAAATTATGTATACATTTTTTTATACATAATTTATACATATTACACCCAATAAGAATCATAAATGAACTATAGTGTCCTGATCACACTAGTATAACAATAATTTTTGGTTTGACTGTACATTTCTTAAATATATACATCCATGTGTGTGTATTTATATACACAAAATAATTATACACAGTACACACACATATATTATGTAAACACAAACTTTTATTGTGGATGTGATTAATCGTTGCCCAGCACTAATGAGATGCCAGATGAGGAACACAACAAGCGGTTCATCGAGTCATTGAACACGAGTAATACAATGTTTCAGACAAGCACTTTAATTGAAACAATGTTACTTATTTGTTTATAATAATGTTTTATGTTACTTTTATTCTGGCCTGAGAGCCTGGGACCCGCAGAATCCCCTCAGAATCGAGACCCTTCTTCTCCAGAAACGACAGAAGCTGAAAACAAGGAAACAATCATATTGAAAACACCCAAGAGTCGAACTTTTAAAGTCACGATGAAACGGAAGTAGCGACGGAGTTACAAAGTAACATTTATCTTTAGCAACACTGTAAAGGTGAATACAATATTAGTCACATGACTAAACATGCGCATCTTTTTCGAATGCATCCACTTCGGAGAGCTTCGTAATAAACTGGAGCATAACGTGAGAGGTGAAACAGGAAATGATGTCATCACATACTGCTTGGAGGAAGAGTGTGCGTGTGTGTGAGAGAGTGTGTATGTGTGAGTGTGTGTGCGGGAGTGTGTGAGTGAGTGAGTGAGTGAGTATGTGTGTGAGTGTTTGAGTGTGAGTGAGAGTGTGTGTGTATATGTGTGTACGTGTGTGAGTGTTTGAGTGTGACTGAGAGTGTGTGTGTGTGTGTATATGTGTGTGTGTGTGTGTGTGTGTGTGTGAGTGAGAGTGTTTGAGTGTAAGTGTGTATGTGTGTGAGTGTTTGAGTGTGTGTGAGAGTGTGTGTGTGAGAGTGATTGTGTGTGTGTGTGCGGGAGTGTGTGTGTGTGAGAGTGTGTATGTGTGAGAGTGATTGTGTGTGTGTATTTGTGTGAGTGTTTAAGTGTGAGTGTGTGTGTACGGGAGTGTGTGTGTGTGCGCGTGCGTGTACGTGTATGTGTGAAAGTGAGTGTGTGCGGGAGTGTGTGTGTGTGTGTGAAACAGGAAATGATGTCATCACGTACTGCTTGGAGGAAGAGTGGGATCTGAGTGCTGGGTTTGATCTTCTGATCGCTCTCCACCAATGAGGCGAGAGGAACGCCAAACAAACAGCTCTCTGACAAACGGGAAGACATTTGACACATTCTGATTATTCCTGACACAGATCGAAACGGACGAGGTCAGGTGACCGGAAACTCACCAGGGATTTTCCTTTTGCAGGTTTTGTGTCGTTTGACCTCGAGCTCCAGAAGGTCACACAGCGCCGTCATGTCAATCAGCGCCAACTGGCGGACCTTCTTCAGGTCCTGATGGGAAAGATCCACGACCCGGGTCACTCCTAACCGGCACTGCGGACAGATGACCCTCTGAGAGAGAGAAAGAGAGAGAGAGAGAGAGAGAGAGAGAGAGAGAGAGAGGGAGGAGGTGAGACGCTTGATCATACTTCTAAACTGTTTTTATTTCAGTAATATTAGTGATAGACAAATATGATCGACTCATTTTTAGTAGGGATGGGAATCACCAGAAGCTTATCATGATATTTCATTATTACGATTTTAAACATTTTAAGCATATTTTATAATAACTGCAATATATTAATATATATATATATATATATATATATAATATTTCCACCTTTTTGTCCTTTCTCGTATTTTAGACAGAGCTTGCGGTAAAATTATGCACCATACTCGCAACTCTGAGCCGAAATTCAGGCCCTGAAAAAATCGAGACTTGCCATCTGTGTATAAATATTGTGATACTATGCTGTATGGATTTTTTCCCCACCGCTATACATTATTACTCTCTATATAACAGACAGACAGGCAGACAGATACACAGTCAGACAATCAGATACACAGTCAGACAATCAGATACACAGTCAGACAATCAGATACACAGTCAGATAGATACACAGTCAGATAGATACACAGTCAGACAATCAGATACACAGTCAGATAGACAGACAGTCAGACACACAGTCAGACACAGATACAGTCAGACACACAGTCAGATAGATACACAGTCAGATAGACACACAGTCGGACACTTAGTCAGATACACAGTCAGACACACAGTCAGACACACAGTCGGACACACAGTCAGACACACATACAGTCAGACACACATACAGTCAGACACACAGTCAGATTGATACACAGTCAGATAGACATACAGTCGGACACAGTCAGACACACATACAGTCAGACACACATACAGTCAGACACACATACACTCAGACACACATACACTCAGACACACATACACTCAGACACACAGTCAGATAGATACACAGTCAGGCACACAGTCAGATAGATACACAGTCAGACACAGTCGGACACACAGTCAGACACACAGTCAGACACAGATACAGTCAGACACACAGTCAGATTGATACACAGTCAGATAGACATACAGTCAGACACACAGTCAGATAGATACACAGTCAGATAGACATACAGTCAGACACACAGTCAGATTGATACACAGTCAGATAGACATACAGTCAGACACACAGTCAGATTGATACACAGTCAGATAGACATACAGTCAGACACACAGTCAGACACACAGTCAGACACACAGTCAGACACAGTCGGACACACAGTCGGACACAGATACAGTCAGACACACAGTCAGATTGATGCACAGTCAGATAGACATACAGTCAGACACACAGTCAGATACACAGTCAGATAGACATACAGTCAGATTGATACACAGTCAGATAGACATACAGTCAGACACACAGTCAGATTGATACACAGTCAGATAGACATACAGTCAGACACACAGTCAGACACAGTCAGACACACAGTCAGACACACAGTCAGACACACAGTCGGACACACAGTCAGACACAGATACAGTCAGACACACAGTCAGATTGATACACAGTCAGATCGACATACAGTCAGACACACAGTCAGACACACAGTCGGACACAGTCAGACACACAGTCAGACACACAGTCAGACACACAGTCAGACACACAGTCAGACACACAGTCAGACACAGATACAGTCAGACACACAGTCACATAGATACACAGTCAGACACACAGTCAGACACACACAGTCGGACAGTCAGACACACACAGTCAGACACACAGTCACACACAGTCAAACACACACAGTTGGACAATCAGACACACAGTCAGATACAAAGTCACATACAGTCAGACAGACAGACACAGTAAATCAGACACAGTCAGTCAGACACACAGTCAGATACAGTCAGACACACAGTGACAGTCAGATAGACAGTCAGACAATCAGACACACAGTCAGATACAGTCAGACACACAGTGACACAGTCAGATAGACAGTCAGACAATCAGACACACAGTCAGACAGTCAGACACACAGTCAGACAGACACAGTCACAGACAGTCAGACACACACACAGTCAGACACACAGTCAGATAGATACACAGTCAGACACACAGTCAGATAGATACACAGTCAGACACACAGTCAGATAGATACACAGTCAGACACACAGTCGGACACACAGTAAGTCAGACACACTGTCACATAGACACAGTCAGACACACAGTCACATGGTGACAAACAGTCAGATACAGTCAGACAATCAGACACAGTCAGACAGACACAGTCACAGACAGTCAGACACACAGTAAGTCAGACACACAGTCAGACACACAGTTACAGACACACAGTAAGTCAGACACACAGTCAGACAGACACACAGTAAGTCAGACACACAGTCAGACAGACACACAGTCAGACAGACACACAGTAAGTCAGACACACAGTCAGACAGACACACAGTCAGACAGACACACAGTAAGTCAGACACACAGTCAGACAGACACACAGTAAGTCAGACACAGTCAGACAGACAGTCACACACAGTCAGACACAGTAAGTCAGACACAGTCACATAGACACACAGTCACACACAGTGACACAGTCAGATACAGTCAGACAATCAGACACACAGTCAGACAGACACAGTCACACACAGTCAGACAGACACACAGTCACATAGACACACAGTCAGACACACAGTCACATAGACACACAGTCAGTCAGACACACAGACAGACAGACAGACAGTCAGTCTCACCGGCAGTGTCCCATCATCTCTCCTGCACTGGCTGCTGTTGTTCTGTGGTAGTTTGGCTTGTTTCAGTAAGATGGCCGCTTGTTCACAATACGCCACGTCTGTGATAAAGATCTCCTCCATCTGTAGCCCTTGAGTCTCCTGCCCACTCACAGCTTCACACACACACACACACACACACACACACACACACACGCACTGTTAATGGCTGTTCTATTGACAGCGGGAAGCGTTCCGTATCTGATCCATTTGAATATCATTTCCATATGAAAAGGCAGGAAATTGCATCTTGTGTTCAAAGGGCACATTCTGCATTCATGCTCGTATAATCAAAGCTCTGGCAGATTACGGCTCCATCTCTCTGAATCTGAAGCATTTTAGTGTTATTAAACACACATATGCTCTTATATTACTAGATGTGATGGGTGAAGATATGCAGCTGAAAATAACACTGAATAATGAACTGACCGGCCCTTTAAGATCATGAGACTGTAGCGTTTCATTCCAGCATTACATCTTACATTTAGCTTCCATGCCAACAGGAATCAAAGATCTCCACAATAATCAAAGTATTTCTGGAAAACTCAAAGTTGCTGTGTTCAATAAATCAATAAAGGTTTATTAGCTTCTCAGCCAATAGAAAAGCGTGTGTGTGCTTGAGTGAATGTGTGTGTGTGTGTGTATGAGTGTTTGTGTGAGTGAGTTAATGTGTGTGTGAGCGTGTGTGTGTGTGTGTGTGAGTGAGTTAATGTGTGTGTGAGTGTGTGTTTGTGAGTGTGTGTGAGGGTGTGTGTGTATGTGTAAGTGAGTGAATGTGTGTGTGTAAGTGAGTGAATGTGTGTGTGTGTGTGTGTGTGTGTGTATGTGTATGAGTGTTTGTGTGAGTGAGTTAATGTGTGTGTGAGCGTGTGTGTGTGTGTGTGTATGAGTGAGTTAATGTGTGTGTGAGCGTGTGTGTGTGTGTGTGTGTGTGTGTGTGTGTCTGAGTGTGTCTGTGAGTGTGTGTTTGTGAGTGAGTTAATGTGTGTGTGAGTGTGCGTGTGTGTGTCTGTGAGTGTGTGTGTGTGTGTGTGTTTGTGTGAGTGAGTGAGTGAGTGAGTTAATGTGTGTGTGAGCGTGTGTGTGTGTGTGTGTGTGTGTGTGTGTGAGTGAGTGAGTGAGTGAGTTAATGTGTGTGTGAGCGTGTGTGTGTGTGTGTGTGTGTGTGTGTGAGTGAGTGAGTTAATGTGTGTGTGAGCGTGTGTGTGTGTGTGTGTGTGTGTGTGTGTCTGTGAGTGTGTGTGAGGGTGTGTGTGCGAGTGTGTGTATTTGTAAGTGAGTGAATGTGTGTGTGTGTGTGTGTGTGTGTGAGAGAGTGCTTGTGTGTGTGTGTGTGTGAGAGAGAAAATGTGTGTGTGTGTGTGAGTGTGCGTGAATGTGTGTGCGTGAATGTGTGTGTGTGTGTGTGTGTGTGTGTGAGTGAGTGTGTGCGTGCGTGCGAGTATGTGTATGTGTGAGTGAGTGAATGTGTGTGTGAGTGTTTGTGTGTGTGTGAGAGAGAGAGAATGTGTGTGTGTGTGTGTGTGTGTGAGAGAGAGAGAGAATGTGTGTGTGTGTGTGTGTGTGTGTGTGTGTACCTGATCGTTGTGTCTTTGTCACACTGTCCATGTTTCTGTGCGTGTCAGATTCGCTGTTGCGTGTCTCAGGAACTGCTGACTGAATAGAAAACAATTAGTCACACATACACACACACACACACACACACACACACACACACACACACACACACACACACACACACACACACAATGTGTTATCTCTGAATTCAAGCCTTTATTCAGGTGCCAGTGATATGATCTGACATGGCGTGAGTGTGGTATTGTCTGCTGTGGAGCACGAACGCACACAGGCCTTTACAAATGCCACGACTGACTGTTTCTGAACACAGATTCTGTCGTAATACAACAATAAACACTGGGGCAACTACACACTTTTTAGCATGATGTCTTCAATCTCACTATTAAAGAGTTCAAGTCATAGTTTTATTACAGAAAGTCACGCTGAGCAATAAAACATTAAGAGTTTTGAATATAAAGGGTTCTATTTTAATGCTCTAAGCGCATGGTCTAAAGTGTCCGAATCCACTTTTGCTAGTTTAACGATGGGAAAAATAGTCGGCGTTCCCGGCGCATGGTCTAAAAGAGTTGTCCCTATTCTCTTAAAGGTGACATATTACGCCCCTTTTCACAAGATATAATATAAATCTATGGTGTCTCCAGAATGTCTGAAATTTCAGCTCAAAATACCAGATCATTTATTATAGCTCGTCAAATTTGCCTCTTTGTTGGATGTGAGCAAAAACGCACCGTTTGTGTGTGTCCCTTTAAATGCAAATGAGCTTTAGCTCCGCCTCCGTTCAGAAGAGGGCGGAGCCTTTACATCAGCTTCAGAGACTCCGGCAATAACAACACAGGCCGATCTCACTGATCCAGAGTCAGGAGTAACAGCAGCGAGTGCAGCCTTACGGAGAGACTCAGGGAGAGCTTCACTTTTACACGTTTCTGAATGTTAGCGGAGACATTTCTGTAGTTGTTGTGGAGTTACACTGATCATCTCCTCATCATGTTGAACTCTTCCACAAGTGTCCACAGTTCCTGAGGTGTTTATAAGAAAGCGCTGACATGTTCTGGTCAATAGTGTTCAGTGTCGTCTGTGCTCGACCACAGAACAGTTTCAGGCGTTGCTGGATCTTCTCCAGTGCGTTAGAACTGGTCTCTGTTGGCGCTCGCCGAACCCAATGTCGCTGGTGTGTGTGAACGTGCAGATTAAGGGCCGGGAATATTATAATAAGATCCTCTTCATACGCCAGAAGGAGCGAAATCTGATCGGCTTATTTTATGACATGCTCTCAGAGAAAGCCTCAGCAGGACAAAGTTAGGGTTTCACTTTTCACGTTTTCTGGGTTGGTGGAAGCGCCGGGACCCGATTATAGCGATTATAGCGATTATAGCACTTACACGCGGGAAAAGTCAGATTTTCATGATATGTCCCCTTTAATTACTTTATTTTTATACCAGATTTAAAAATGAGGATGTCCCTAAAGGAGGTTTTTGTCAGGTTTTGGTCACTTCGCGTACAAATTTGTTCCCAAAATATAGTTAAGTAGGTACACACTCACACACACACTCACTCACAGGTGTGTTGTTACCTGAGCGACAGGGTGTGTGAAGACGTCTCTGACGTGTCTCGGTGGTGTTTTGTTCCTCTTGCGCAGTGAGAGTGTGTACGAGTCGATGCGCTTCTGAACCGCTGCTGCTTGAGTCTTAGTGAGAGTCGACAACAACACAGCTTTATCCTCGTCCTCCTCTTCACCCGTTACCAGTGGAGACAAACCAGCATCCAGCAGCCAGAGCTCGTCCTGCTCGCCGTCTGACACACACACACACACACACACAGAGCCACAAGATTATTAATGAATATAAAAACCGTGAACACATCACTCCGTCCTTGGTCTCTCTGCATTGGCTCCCTGTACAGTATAGGATGGATTTTAAACTTCTTTCATTAGTGTATAAATCTCTTCATGACCTTGCACTTATTTATCAGATCTGCTAATGGAGTATCAGACAGGAGAACTTTGAGATCAACAACTCAAAATTTACTTAAAATTGCAAGGACCAAGTTAAGCCAGAAAGGGGATTGTGCGTCTGCGGTCTGGAATAACCCTTACATGTTACGGGACGCTGACTCTGTACATGTTTTTAAAATACAACTTAAGACACATTTGTTTGCCATGGCGTATTCTTCTTTTGGATGGTAATTTTTTATCATCGTTTTTATTATTATATTACTATTGTATTCTTCTGTCTTTTTACTGAGATGATGTAAAACACATTGGTCAACTTGTGTTGTTTTAATAGTGCTATATAAATAAAACATTGACATTGACACACACACACACATACATACAGTTGCAATGGAAATTATTCAACCCCCGTTGCAAATCAGGTTTATTGGCAACATGTACAGACTTTCAGCTGTTTGCAATGAACAAATCAAACTAAAGTAATTGGAATAGATCAACACAACAAATGTTTCTAGTGGTTTCCCCAAATTTAACTGAAAATGCAACTTTTAATGACTTCTGGCGTCTCAAAATTATTCACCCCCTTCATTGCAAGCATCTTTAGTACTTAGGGATCACATTGATCTGAGCCGGTTCCTCGTGAGCAATGGCCTCCAGTTCAGGGATATTCTTGTGTTTGCTGCTGCAACCGCCTTCAAATCCCTCCAGAGGTGTTCTCTGGGGTTCGAGTCAGGAGACTGTGCTGCCACTGTATCTCCCAGGACTTCTCCTGACACCAAGCCTGGGTGGAGTTTGAGGAACGCTTGGGGTCGTTGTCCTGTTGAAGGTCCGAGCTCCAGCCTCCTCACTGACGGCATGATGTTCTCTCCTAGGATCTCCTGATCCTTCAGTGATCATCTCTCCCTCCTCACGCTGCAGGTTTCCAGAGCCGGAGGATATAGATCAGCCGCAGAGCATCACCGATCCACCATGCTGAACTGTAGACCGTGTTCATTACAGCATATGCTTCATTCCTCTTCCTCAGGACACACCGCTGATCCATCGGGCCCAAAAGTTCCAGTTTTGTTTCATCGCTCCACAGAACAGAAGCTCAAAACGTCTGTGGCTTATTTATATGATTTTGGGCTCTTTTCTTGTGCTTTTGAGTCAGTCTTGGATTCTGGCATGTGTTTTGAGTTCGCAAACTATGCTTCCAACGGTGTCTCTAGGAACATTTAGTGCCTTCGCTATCTTTTTGTATCCTGTTCCTTGTTTGTGAAGGGCGATGAAATCTTCTTTTAACTTTTTGGACTTCTTTCATTCTTCAGCCATATTTCTAACTTGCAGTCAAACGTGACACTCTACAAACCTCGCCAGTTCAGATTTTTCATGTGTTCTAGCTCAAGCACACCTGGTGCGACTAATGAAGCCCTTGATTAGTGAGACAACGCCTGTTTTGCAGATTTGTGCTGATGTGAGAGAATCTATTCAGGGGGTGAATAATTTTGAGACTGCAGAATTTGGGGAACCAATAGAAACATTTGTTGTGTTGATCTATTCCAATTACTTTTTGTAATTTTTGATTTGTTCATTGCAAACAGCTGAAAGTCTGTACATTTTGCCAATAATCCTGATTTGCAATGTGGGTTGAATAATTTCCATTGCAACAGTATACACACACACACACACTTGTGTCAATCCATCAGCGCGTATCTCATCCCACAGCATCATCATGTCTCCCCATCTCCGTACCTTCGGACTGTCGGGAGTCTCTCCTGCGGCTGCTGTCCGGCTCGGAGTCGCTGCTGCTCCGGATGTTCTCCACTTCAGTCCAGAAGGACTCGAGGCACAAGCTGTCGGGCTTCAGAAGATCGGGATCGGGATTAGGAGAGTCGGGCTTCAGGAGATCGGGATCGGGATCAGGAGAGTCGGGCTTCAGGAGATCGGGAGAGTCCGGCTGCGGGTCCCGGGGGTCCGTCCAGGACTCAACGTTCATCGCGCTGAGGCTGCAGTCCCTGAAACACACCGGAAGAGGAAGAGAATGGTGAGGAAGAAACACCAGACTAGATAAAGCGAGAGATGAGTGTGTGTGTGTGTGTGTGTGTGTGTGTGTGTGTCAATGCAGCCGCTCTCATGATGCATGTTCTACACAAAGAACTCAAACTACTTCTCGTTACGTTTCTGCAGAACTGACTCACACACACTTGATGGCTGCTCTGTCAAGTCTTGTCGTCGGTTAGGAACCCTCTTTAATACCAACCTTTCATTTGAAAGCCACGTGTCTAGTATCTGTAAAACCGCATTCTTCCATCTTAAAAATATATCTAATTTACGTCATATGCTTTCAATGAAAAAATGTGGAACAGTTAGTTCATGCGTTCATGACCTCAAGGCTAGATTATTGTAATGCTCTACTGGGTGGTTGCCCTGCACGCTTAATAAACAAACTCCAGCTGGTCCAAAACGCAGCCGCTCGAGTTCTTACCAGAACCAGGAAGTATGACCATATTAGCCCGGTTCTGTCAACACTGCATTGGCTCCCTATTAAACATCGTATACATTTTAAAATATTGCTGATTACTTACAAAGCACTATTTATTTAACATGTACGTGTGCATTAAAAGTACCATTTCTGCCACGAGAACGATGCTGAGCCAAATGAAGATAATGATGTGTTCTGGCGACTGCCGTGTTTATTGAACCAATTAGATAAGAGTAAGTCGAGAGTTAGCTAGAAGCTCATTTGATTGGTTACATGAAGAAGGTGGACCCGCCCTCCTCTTCGCGCTTGCAAAACTCAATGAGCGAGAGAATCGCGCCAAAACTGAAAGAAAAAAAGAAAGACGCAACTGTACAAATAGGGTTATTTCGGGAGCGTTGTTGCTCCATGCACACAACAAGTCATTTAGACATTTGCAACAGTTTAATTTGTTTACACAAAGGTTGGTTTTACGTGATCAATCTTTATTGCAGTTCCTGACTCTGTTGTTTTCGCTTGCAAATTGCTGTTCAGAGGCTTGCGGTGCTTTTGGCCGTATTTGTGCGGAAAAAAAAACGTGCCAAAAGTGTAAGTGCGGAAAAATGGAAGTCAGAAGAATACAGATCCTATTTATTTTGCGTCAGCATGAAGCTGCAGCTTCACAATACATGCAATACACTTACCAATAACAGTTACACTACCGTTCAAAAGTTTGGGGTCGGTACGATTTTAAATACTTTTAAAAGAATTCTCTTCTGCTAACCATGGCTGCGCTTATTTGATTAAAAATACAACAAAAATCAGTTATAGTATTAAATATTATTCCAGTGTAAATCAGCTGTTTTCGGTGTGAATATATAGTAAAGTGTAATTTATTCCTGTGATCAAAGCTGAATTTTCAGCATCACCAGTGTCAGTGTCTTCAGTGTCAAATGATCCTTCACAAATCAGTATAATTTGAGGATTTGATGCTCAAGAAACATTTATTATTTTATCAGTGTTGAAACAGTTGTTGGTCTGTCAGTTGTACAGTTTTTTTTGGTTTTTTTTTGATTCTTTGATGAATTGGAAGTTCAAAAGAACAGCATTTGTTTGAAATAGAATCTTTTGTAACATTATAAATGTCTTTACTGTCCTTGATAAATAAAAGTATTGATTTCTTTCCTCCAAAAAATAAAAATAAAATTCTCACTGACCCCAAACTTTTGAACGGTAGTGTATATGCAGTAAAAAAAATTTTCTTACACTTGAAAGGCGATTTACACCTTTACAAATCTTACCCTGCGCATGCGATTCTTTATAGCATCATATTACCTTCATAATGCATGTTCTACATGAAGAACTCAAACTACTTCCTGTTCCGTTCCTGCAGGACCACCGAACGCTTTGAGGTGATAATGAGCTTCTGCAGGTGACTGGCACACACACACACACACGAGTTTCTGCTGACGGACCTCAGTGAAGAGCGGTTTCTCTTCAGCTGCACAGATTAAAGCTGAAACCACTCAGAGATTTAAACATGTCAGTCACTTCAGCGTCATGATGATGTCATTTTACACCGATACACACTATTGATCTGACTGGTGTGTGTTTAATGGCAGAAATCATTCTAATATGATTTGCTGCTCAAGAAACATTTTATTTTTCAGGATTCTTTGATGAATAGAAAGTTCAAAATAACAGCATTTATTTGAAATAGAATCTTTTGTAACATTATAAATGTCTTTACTGTCACTTTGGATCTATTTCACACTCACTCACTCACACACACTCTCTCTCACACTCACACACACACTCTCACTCACGCACTCACTCTCACACACACTCACTCACTCACTCACACACACACTCTCACACACGCACCGTAAACCATATTCTCAGAGTGAGTTTAGTAAAGACTGTACCTGGCACTGCGTTGAGTGTGTGTGTGTGTGTGTGTGTGTCTGGTTGAGTGTTGCTCATGCAGGTAAAGAAGGAAACGTCTCGGGCGACACAGTTTTCCGCGCTGGATGGGTTTAGATCGAACCAAACGCACCACAATCTCCTCCCTGGGCTTCAAGTCCATAAAGTACATTCTCACTTACAGCTCCATCAATGCAGATGAATAATAATAATGTTTGAATATTTACAATATTCCGTCAGATATTCCTCATTCTCCAATAGATTTGCTTATTTTATGCTCCACTTCTTCAGTTCTGAGTGTAAAAATGTCCCGCTTTCAAACAGAAGATGCACACGGACGCGACTCATCAGTTGCTCATTGCTCTGCTATGTGTGTGTGTGTGTGTGTGCGTGCCGGAGGGAAAAAACCAGCAATACCACATCACTCACACCTAAACCTGCTCATCTGGGACACACCCGACTCATTCACACACACACACACACACACACACACACACACACACACACACACACACACACACACACACACACACACACACACACACACACACACGACATGCCATTCATAACTTGGATGAAAATAATCTTCAGCCTCGGACCCACATGTGACTTTTACAATCACTCTTCATGCAGTATTTATGAGCTGAAACTAACCGAGATCACATGCAATGTTTACCACTTTAAAAATTCATGTCACACAGGAAAATTGAATACTAGTCCAAGTAATTAAAATGCCAAAAATATATGACCGAATTTACTTATTTATTTATTTAGTCAATGAAATGAATGTACTATATTTTAGTTTATAATTTATTTAATATTTTGTATTTTTAGGGGATTTTATGGTACTAAATTATATTTACGCTGTGTTTATAATCCATTTATTCACTTTTTGAGCGTAGACATGAAAATGAAATGTCCAGCTTAAACTGTGGAGAATCTTGAACGCTTTAGAGCGACAGACTGAAGTTTGATCTCTTCTCAAACACGACACTCGGCAGATTATTGATGAAGTGAAAACAGTTTTAAAAAGTGAACTTAAAGTTACAGAATTTTACATATGACAAATGACCAATGCACAAAAATAATATATACAATTTTTATATGAAATATTTATTTTCAAAATCACGTTTTACTCTAAAACTGCAAGAAAATCAAAGCCATAAATCTAAACTTTGTGAGGTTGATGTCTCAGTTCAGTGTTGTTCGGCTGCAGTTCCGAACGCTTCCACTAGAGGAACTCTGACCGCGAGGAGCACAAGTGCCAAAACCTTTACCAAGTTTCGTACTTTTTTAATGAAGTAAAAAATTCACACAAAACAACAAAAATGGCCGAAGAGCGCCAGAGGGTTAATGCACAGATTACCTGAAATATTGATCAAACAAAAGCACATGGACACAGATGTCAATCATTAGTTTTAATATTTTTTCTCTTTACACGTTGACAGTATATGGACGAATCCAAACCCAGATCTTTAGAAGTTCTGCTCATCATTCGCATCTTCCTCATATTCACACACACATTCCTCTGTCGTAATGAATTAGTGATGCGAACACAACTCTGTCATCTCGCATTAAATCTGTCAATACACACACAGAGAATCTCCTGGTCAGCCTAACAGGAAGCCGTATGACGCACACACACACACACACACACACACACACACACACACACACACACACACACACACACACTTCATTGTTCTGTTCATTCTCAGGCTGCTGCTTCTTTCCTCATAGTGAATAATAAAGTGTCCAGGAGTGGTAAACACACACACACGGTTTGAGTCGCACACATGAACAAGCTCTCGGATCTTCAGATGATGGAATGAAGGCGATCAGGCTTGTGTTTTCGCTTCAGGTTCTCGTGCCGGAAGAACGTCAGAGTATTTTTAAACCTGAAAAGTCCCCGTCCTTCCACATGTTGAGATCCATTGTTGTTTCACACACACACACACACACACACACACACACACACACACACACACACACACACACACACACACACACACACACACACACACACACACACACACACACACACACACACACAATAATGTGACTTTAATAGAGCGAGTGAACACTAAAGGTTCAGGCTGCCATTATAACAGTTACACAGTCACTAGATTACGGTCATATATTAAAGCTGCTTCATAGCTTACAGGCATTATGCTTTTAATGATACGAATATTAGACTTTATCATTTATTTTTACAATCACAGGGTTCGTACAAGGTGCTTAAAGTGCTTGAATTTGACGTTTTGAAATGTAAGTCCTGGAAAACCCTTGAAAACGGCCATATTTATGAAGAGGTGCTTGAATTATTGGAAGTCAATAGGCTATATTAGAAATTAGTGTTTAACTTTATTGATAAAACATCTGTTCACAGCCGTCTGATATTGATATAGAGCCAGTTCACGTGGCTATGAGTGTGATGTTACTCATATAATTATTCAAGTGTATGATACAGCTTTGAATTTAGTCAATTTGAAAGTTTTAGAATTTGACATAAGAATTTGAAAGATAATACAGATATAGTCTGATAAGTGAGATCTCTCCTTGAAAACTAGTGCTTGAAAGTCCTTGAATTTCATTTTACAGTGTGTGTACGAACCCTGCAATCAATCACAGCACCAAAAATTACTAATACATTTACACTAAACAGTATTCTAATTAATATAACCAACCGATTTTGCACAATGCTGATGTTGATTATTGAAACATTACACAAAAAAGCAATATCGCGCTCTGACACATTAAACCACTACTTGTTGCTTGTTATTGCGAAGGCAATCTGACTCGACTGAGAGAGTTAGAAGCTTTTCTCCTGTGTAAAGCAGCACACACACACACACACACACAGTCTGTCCATTCCTCACACTCACGGACGGGATCTTGCAGTCGGAAATATTCTTACGGTTTGCAGAGTTCAATAGTTATGTAATGTGAGCTGAACTGCCCACCAGGTTTACTCCTAATGCCAGAAAATGCACTGTTGAATCCATAGTCTTACTAAGAACATTTAGATATTATTACAGGGTTCGTACACACACTGTAAAATGAAAATACAGGACTTTCAAGCACTACTTTTTTTGGTTTTCCAGGACTATAATCAGAGATCTCACTTATCAGACTATCTTTATTATCTTTCAAATTCTAAAAAGGTAAATAGATAAACAAAAATAAACTAATAAAACAAAATGGTAAAAATAAAGTTTTCAAGGGTTTTCCAGGACTTTAATTTCAAACGTCAAATTCCAGCACTTTAAGCACCCTGTACGAACCCTGCAAACGTTATTTCTCTGAACATTCAAACGTGCCATTTCTTAAATGTAAAAAAAAAAATAGTGACCACAAAGGGAACATTCCATTGTATCATTCTACAAATATACTGAGAATGTTACTTTTGAATGTTCTCTGAACGTTCTAAAATGTAATTTTTTTTAAACATTCCAGTAACATTTTTAAACGTAACAGTTGCATTTTTAAAAGTACCAGTAACATTTTTAAAAGTACCAGTAACATTTTTAAAAGTACCAGTAACATTTTTAAACGTAACAGTTGCATTTTTAAAAGTACCAGTAACATTTTTAAAAGTACCAGTAACATTTTTAAAAGTACCAGTAACATTTTTAAACGTAACAGTTGCATTTTTAAACGTACAAGTAACATTTTTAAACGTAACAGTAACATTTTTAAACGTACCAGTAACATTTTTAAACGTAACAGTTGCATTTTTAAACGTAACAGTTGCATTTTTAAACGTAACAGTTGCATTTTTAAACGTACCAGTAACATTTTTAAACGTAACAGTAACATTTTTAAATGTAACAGTAACATTTTTAAACGTACCAGTAACATTTTTTAAACGTAACAGTAACATTTTTAAACGTAACAGTAACATTTTTAAACGTACCAGTAACATTTTTAAACGTAACAGTAACATTTTTAACCGTAACAGTTGCATTTTTAAACGTACCAGTAACATTTTTAAACGTACCAGTAACATTTTTAAATGTAACAGTTTCATTTTCATTTTTACGTAACAGTTGCATTTTTAAACGTAACAGTTGCATTTTTAAATGTACCAGTAACATTTTTAAACGTAACAGTTGCATTTTTAAAGGTAACAGTTGCATTTTTAAACGTAATAGTTGCTTTTTTAAACGTAACAGTAACATTTTTAAATGTAACAGTTTCATTTTCATTTTTACGTAACAGTTGCATTTTTAAACGTAAAAGTTGCATTTTTAAACGTACCAGTAACATTTTTAAACGTACCAGTAACATTTTTAAACGTACCAGTAACATTTTTAAACGTAACAGTTGCATTTTTAAACGTAATAGTTGCATTTTTAAACGTAACAGTTGCATTTTTAAACGTAATAGTTGCATTTTTAAACGTAACAGTTGCATTTTTAAACGTAATAGTTGCATTTTTAAACGTAACAGTAACATTTTTAAATGTAACAGTAACATTTTTAAATGTAACAGTTTCATTTTCATTTTTACGTAACAGTTGCATTTTTAAACGTAACAGTTGCATTTTTAAACGTACCAGTAACATTTTTAAACGTACCAGTAACATTTTTAAACGTACCAGTAACATTTTTAAACATACCAGTAACATTTTTAAACGTAACAGTTGCATTTTTAAACGTAATAGTTGCATTTTTAAACGTAACAGTTGCATTTTTAAGCGTAATAGTTGCATTTTTAAACGTAACAGTTGCATTTTTAAACGTAACAGTTGCATTTTTAAACGTACCAGTAACATTTTTAAACGTACCAGTAACATTTTTGAACGTAACAGTAACATTTTTAAACGTAACAGTTGCATTTTTAAACGTAACAGTTGCATTTTTAAACGTACCAGTAACATTTTTAAACCTAACAGTTGCATTTTTAAAGGGGTCATATAATGCCATTTTTGTACAAGTTAATATGAATGTTTAGGGTCTAAATGAAAACTTTGTAATATACTTTTATTAAAAATTCTCATTAGTATTTTAAGAAAACTCTAATTTTACCTGGTCAAAAACAGCTGTTTTCAGCACGCCGTTTCAGTGCATATGCCTTTAAATGATAATGAGCTGTGCTGACTCCGCCCCTCTGTTCTGTGGGCGTTTAGACACAAGGCATGTGGAGTGTTGCCTTGACAACAGTTGAGGGTTTTTTCATGAGCAGCTTCTTAGCAAAACCAGCTCATACTGACCCTCGTTTATAAGCAGTCTGGTGTGTGAAATGATTCGCGCAAACATGAACGCATTGACGTTGCTCGTGGGGAATATTCCCTTCGAAAACAAAACTCAGCCACTGCGTCTTCAGCGGTTCGGGTTTAGGAACATTAAAATGACTGTTCGTTATTACACCCAAGAACAGAACACCACAATCGCTTA